TTCCTCTCAGACGCTAGTGGCACTAGTCACCGACCAATATCTTGCACATATCAACATTCTAATTCCACCGTCATAGAAGAAGGAAAAGCTTTTGGACAAGACTCACAGAACACAAAGAGCCGTTTTTTTTCCGATCCTCCAGTACAAGAGTAGGCACCGGGCTTCATGTGCCGGACCTCACTTGCCCGCTCTTGAACATTAATCATTACATCCGCGTCATCCGTGAAGGTGCAGTTTCCTGATGTCAGTACGTGATCAAGATATTTGTCGAGTGCGCCGTAGGCATAACTGCAACCATCTTTGGAAGAGGAACACCACGAATCGAGATTGGTTGTACAGAATACGCAGGTAATAGATGCGAAGAGCAGGAGAGGTGTCATGCTTTCGCTGGAGGCTGACAAACTAGAGACTTTAAAATGCCCCGCACATGATGTATTGATTTTTTCAATTTTTCTCCCACGCAAATTATTATCGCCACGTGCACGTTGCTTGAGGGGATGTTTTGGCAACAGACACGGCCCAGTCCGTCGGATTATCCTCTTCACTGTAGACCACGAAAACGTGAACGCGCAACGTCACCGCCCTTATGAAGAGCCTGTCAGTCAGTTTCAGTCATTTTATTAAGTGAATGAGGCTTTCGCCCTTTATCTCCCTATTCAAATCGATAAACAGAAATAAGGTCATCAATTGCATCACCAAATGCGGAAAGTTAAAAAATTAGCGGTACGTGTGAGGCAGGCGCAAACTGCCTCTGCTAAAACAATCGTTATTATATGTACAGTAGTTTCTCAACAAATGAGCATCTAGTCCACACTTGAAGGAATCGATACTTTCGGAAAGAACCACTACATCAGGGAGTCCGTTCCATGTCCCAATGACCCTGTGAGAGAAGGCGTTCCGTCGGACGTCCGAATGGGACAGCTTCCTCTGCAGTTTGAAGGGATGACCACGCAGGCGGTCAGTCCCGGCCATTTCACCAAAAGCGCGATACAGAGATTCAGAAAAAAATATATTTGACTTATAGTTGTGTAAGAAAATACGACAGCAAGGGTTTACAATAGGTCAGGAAAAAAACGGCAAAGGGTGAAAATGTCCGTCGCTGTAAGCAATGTGATTGCTTCTCTTAAGTCAGATCCGCAATAGTCATCGGGTAGGTAAACGACAATAGAGCGAGTTTTGCATTCTGTACCTTCAGCCATCACTCAGCCAAATATGTATCCATGCTAATCTGCGGTAAACCATCGTAGACCAAATTGCATCACCACACATTTCCAGCAACCACATACACCATTTACGTAACCGCCCACGTCACACACCACAGGCACGGAGCAGGCACCTCCCACGTAAGTGGGAAGCGTGCTCCTCGCTTCCATCACACGTCCCTTCTGTTACTCTAACACATGTGGAATTCCAGCAGCCTACTCCATTTGCGTGGACTCCTGGTGTGCTGCGTGGGGACAAGATCGTATGTGCGTGCGTGTGTGTGTGTTGTGCCCCCCAGATGGGCCACGTATTAGATGCGCTGGACCAACACGGGGGCCACATCGGACTCTGGTAGGCGTTATCTGTGCGCAATAACAAATGCCAATATTTGCGGGGTGCGCTGGCAGACCCTGTTGTCGGCAGTCGTTGCACAAGTGCGACCACTGCAATCACCCCATCGTTTTCTGGTCGAAATCCTGGTCATTGTTGTGTAGACCAGGCGGTGCGGAGTGGAGCGCCAAGGTGAGGATCCGTCCGAGCCATCCACCTGCGTCCTCCCTCGTCTCCGGTCTTCTTGACTCTGTCTTGACACCGGACTCAGGCGGGGGAGGAGAGAGTGTAGGTAGATGCTACGCAAGTCTACTGGCACTATAAACCCCTACGTAAGTTACCGTCCCTGCTCCCACCGCTGCTGCAGCTGTTGGGCACACGGTGGACAGCATCGAAATCGATAGTCGAACTGTCGTGTGTGTGTGTGTGTATGTGTGTGTGGGGGGGTGTAGGAATGTCCAGCGGTGGGTTCACGTGATGGTCGTAGTGGTCGCTCACATGCTTGCTGGTGAGACTACGCCTAGCATCCATTTGCTGGCACCCAACTCTCACATTTGGCTCCACGTAGCTGGGCTCTGCTCAGCGGCCACACACCGAGCAACCGCCTCGACCGGCGGGCTAAACCAGGTGAGGGCGCTGTGCGCTTGTGCCGCGTGCACAGTGAACTGCGGACTCCGCTGGATGGATGGTCGGATGAAACACTGCGCCGGCATCGTCGAGACGAGGCTCTGCCTGGTACGCCGTTGGAAAACTGCTGCCGGGACGGGTCTGCGCATCGCCTTCGCTGAGACGCGCCCACCCTCGCCGATGGAGACCGCGGACTCACGGCATATGCGGTCGTTCTCCACTACAAGCATAAAAGTCGTGGCCCCATAGTGGGATACGGGCGCGCCAACCAGGCACATGGGCAGCCCGATTCAGGGGCGGCACTGCCTGCCCCCACGAGGAGAAGGGCCTAGAAAAGGTGACCTAAACATTGCTGGGTACCACGCCGTCTGCAGGCTAGCCAGGGCCGCATATGTCATCAACACGGTCGAAACAATCAAAATCGAAACAACAACAATAACAACAACAACAACCATGCTCATTCTCCTCATCCTACCTCTTCTTCCTCTTCCTCCGTCTATTCTTCTGCCTATTCTTCTCCTTCGTCATCTTCTTCTCCACCTCCTTCCCGTCGCCCCACTCGTTGTCCCCAGACTGGCAGGGTGAGCCCGCTCACTCTTGCAACCTGGAATGTTCGTTCCCTTTTAGACAATCCGAGGAGCTACCGACCGGGACGGAGGATGGCGCTAGTGGCCCGGGAACTGGCGCGTTACAAGGTGGACATCGCCGCACTCAGCGAGACCCGATTCTCCGAACAAGGCCAACTGGAGGAGGTGGGTGCCGGCTACACCTTCTTCTGGAGGGGTCGGCCCAGAGCAGAGCGACGAGACGCGGGTGTTGCCTTCGCCATCCGGAACGACATCGTGGGACGACTGCCCAGTCTGCCGCAGGGCATCAACGATCGCCTGATGAGCCTCCGTCTGCCTCTCCGGCGAGGAGGCAAATTCGCCACCATCATCAGCGCCTACGCTCCGCCGATGAGCAGCCCCGACGCCGCCGCCGCATGAGACAAGTTCTACGAGGACCTGCACGCCCTCTTGGCGACTGTGCCGAATGCGGACAAGTTGATGGTCCTTGGTGACTTCAACGCCCGCGTCGGCACAGACCATACTGCCTGGAGATGAGTGCTGGGTCCCCATGGTTTCGGCGGCTCCAACGACAATGGTCTGCTGCTGCTCCGCACCTGCGCAGAACACTGCCTCATCCTGACGAACACGTTCTTCTGTCTGCTGGAGCGAGAGCAGGCCACCTGGAGGCATCCTCGATCGCGTCAGTGACACCTG